CTTGCTAAGCTCCACTTAGATTTCTTAATTGTGGGTTAGAAAAGTGGGGGGGGCGTGTCTTATACATGGGGGCGTCTTATACATGGAAAAATATGGTATTTATACATGCTAGGGTCCCCGTGTGCAAATGCAAATGTGGCACCGATAAAGAGGTTCATTCACACTTCTGTGACAATTAGAAGTCTTTGCCCAAGCAAAGTAGGAGAGAAGAGTAATTTCAAAAACGAACACCTCAACAAATTGAGAGCATACATTAGATTTCTGTTTAAACAAACATTTGACTGCACTGCTGTTTTATTTTATTTACTGACTGCTAGTTTTGACCAGTTGTTCCTTGTTCCTAGCTTGTGAAAGTTAAAATGCAAACCAGCTATAATTTCCCCCTCTTTATGGTTTTTTTAAAAGAGAAAGGGAGCATGTACATGTTCAGACAATCAATGGGCAAAATCCTGTTGGCCCTGTTCTGCCGGCATAAACTGGATTGAGGTGCTTGAAACAATTAATGCAATTTAATTTGAAGCTTCCTATCCTCTCTTTTCACATTCCGAGGCTCCCTCGAGCTCCCTTTCGCCCTGGGGAAGCCCTGGGATTGAGCCAAGGGGAAAAGATTTCAGAAGTCAAAAGATGCTGCTCAACTGCTGTGGATGGGATGAAGCTGTTGCTGGTGATCTGGCGGCAATTTCTGACTTTTAAAGGCCAGCCCCCTTGTCTGTCCAAAGCTCCCAAATGCTCTCCAAGGGCAAAGGGAACTGCAGGGAGTCTTGGGAACCGAAACGGGGACCTATCTGGTCACAAGACCAGATAAGCGGGATATAAATAGAATAAATAAATAAAATTAATAAACAAACAAACAGGAGCCTTTATTTAACCTGGTTATTTAGACAGGCCTTTAAGAACGTTATACCAACAGAACACAGAGGACTTACCAACCTCTAAGTCAGAGATTCCACTATCCTGATTGATTTTAACAAACGTTATATTTTGTGTGCTGTATTTTTCAGTTGATAATGTCTCTTAATTTATAATGTTTGGTGTATGTTTATTCTTTTATATCAATTTGGTGTTACTTTATTTTAATTTATTGTTGTTGACTATTAGTTTTCTTTCTGTTTTCACAGTGGCCTTGTTAACCAGATGGATGGTATATTAAATCCATCCATCCATCCATCCATCCATCCATCCATCCATCCATCCATCCATCCATCCATCCATCCATCCATCCAATCTCAGTCCATCCGTCCATCCATTCAATCTCTCAGTCCATCCATCCATCCATCCGTCCGTCCGTCCGTCCGTCCATCCATCCATCCATC